CTATGGCCTCCAGTGGATGTTGGATATATTTGTTGAAGAGAAATCCATTGAAAGGTACCAAATACAAAGATTTCTAGACCAGCAAGTCTCTGAGCTGAAAACTGTTGAAGGCTTGGAGAGGACAAGAAGGAAGTGTGATATATGTTTGCCCTGTTTCTTCTCTGTAGGTATTTGCTCGTGACCACTGCTGGAGATAGGATTTGGGGCCAGATGGACACTGACATGTCCACTCCCTCTCCTATCCTACTCTCCATATTTCTGAAAAAACTAAACACCTAAAGCAAAGATTCTAGAAATATTTATTATACCAGCAGCAGTTCCACTCTGTGCATTTAATTAGGGGAGAGTCCAGTTTAGAAAAAAAAAAGATAGGATGTAATCTAATTGAAAATCGAATTATTATATGCAAGGCAGAAGTATTAGAATCACACAGGCTACCTCATCTCAGTACCTCTTCTTTGAATTCAGAGTTTTGCACCCACAATACTTTTCTTTGAATGTGGATCCTGGTGCTTCATCTTTTAGGCTTATAGAAGTCAACTGGAAAAGCAAAATAATTCCATGTGAACATCACATAAGTGCCCAGGCAACCAAATGGAAACCAAACTGGCCTTCCTGTTGTATAGGTAGCTAGAAGCTCCAAGTAGTGGATTTTAATAAATGATTTCTGCATGGAGGTAGGAAGAGAAGCAGCAAAGCACACACATGGCAGGCAGCATATTGTGGTAGCTGCGCACAAGCTCACACCGATTTTCTGCTTTCCCTTGACCTAGGTACCACCTGAAAACACCCTCTGCTGACCAGTGTCCTCATGGCAATGTCAGCAGGCCATGAATGCCACTGCTTGAACTAAAAGGGTAACTGAGACCGCTGTCCTTTTGCTGGAAACCAGGCAGTGCTGGGGGAGGAGAGGTGGGCACTCAGCTGGGTCTCACCCTGATACCCACTGCGGGTACCAAAGGGGTGCACACCCCACCGCAAGGACCAGAGTACACAGCCCCGGTCTAGCGTAACAGGCTAAGGGCTGTGGGTATTTGCAGGTCAAGAAAGCAGCGCAGGGAAAGAACTGCAGAATGCAGAGGATGGAAGTCACCTAAGGTTCCAAACGGTCTCTCTGGGCACCGTCTTGTCAGGCATCCATGGTACAGGACCATATGTGATCCCTTGTACTGAATCTCTCTGCTCACAAAACCTGGGGTGTGATCACCCTCCCCCTGAGACTGGCAGAGCGGGAGGGCTTCGGAAGGAGTACAGAGCCAAACATCACAGGAGGAAGAAATTACCTCAGACCTTGCTGGAGATCTATCTAGGATATTTTTTGAGGACCCTGCAATTGAACTGTCCTTCCTGTCCTCCCCCCAGAAAGTGACCTGAGGCATTATACCAGGAAATGCTGTGCCTTTGTATTGTCCTCTTGCTAGGAATGGGAACAAGGGAAGGTTTTGTCGTACATCAGCAACCAGTACAACTGGGGAGTATTTGAGCTTCCCTTAGTGGTTTTCCCAGGCAAAGCTCCAGGCTAGAAGTAAACTGGGTGGTATGTTCTTCCTCACCCCTCTGCTCTTGTTCTCACAAGGATCATTCACAAAGTCTGTGAGTTATAGAGAAAAGCCACTGCATAAACTTATCACATCCTTTTGGACCTGAACCTGTGCAGCAACCTGCCCCGTGTCATCCTCTCCACCCAGGGGGTAGCTACGACAGCAAAAAAAAACTCTGTGCAGCACCAAAGGAAATTATTTCCTTCTCTGCATTTCTGACCACACCTTTATATCCCACAACATTCATTGGCATCAAGTAGAACAGAACTGTGGTAAAGAGAGTTTTAATAAAGTAAGCACTGTATTAGGCATTTCTTCCATGAACAATCCCTGGTCTTGACTGCACAGCAAAATTGAGTCCTGGACATCAGAAGAGATAACCAAGAGATAGCTGCTATATCTGTAGTGTAAATGTGAAGGCACAGCATTGTAAACAAACTAATATAATCCTCATTTTATGGGCAAGAAGGGGAGGGGCAGAAAAATTAGATTCCAAGATTGCATTAAAACAGAACCCATGGCTAGTACTTTACCCACAAAACAATCTTTCCTTTCGTGCGTCACTGCAAAGTGCTTATTAACACCACCTGATACACACGGGGTTAGTTCACCCTCTCCCACAGGTGAAAATCATTTTTAAAAATGCAAGCTGGGGAGAATCACATTCTTGTTCTGCAACAAATGAAGTGTCACATTTTCCTCGTTTGGGTTTGTGGGTTTTTTAAATCATGGAATAATATGCTTGTCTGTTCCCCTTGTACTGCAGCCTGTCTGCACAGAGAAGAGTCATCAGGTGCTGTGATAAAGAAGAAAGAACATCCCTAAGGTATTTTTATCTGTGGACTGGGAAACATTAATCACTTCTCAACTACTAGCTGTTCACTCTTACTCATCCTTCTGGATGTTCATCTCATGATGAATGTTAATTTTGTCTGCTCTGTGAACTGATCTGTGGACAGTTGTCCAAATTCTGAAACACTTGAGGGCATGGTCAGACACAGGTGAAAAGGGGTAAGAAGTTAAAAATCCTAGAGCACCTGTTCAGCTCAGGAGCACTGAAATTGCCCTGCTGTGTATTATGGCTTCTTCAGATCTACTCCCCTGGCTGCATGCATAGTGATCCTTAACCCAGAGCTGTCATCATAATCTGCGTATGTTTAAGCACTGTAAATAGTATGCCTTCTCTCACCTGAATCACTTTGAGAGAGCTGCATTATGTGTGGGGTTACAGATTTGCTCCTCTCTCTGGTTCTCCATGTGATTATTGTAAAGGGTCTTGAGGTATGGGTAGGGAATGGCTTTAGAGAAGATTCTGTTTTGGTTTTTTTCTGGGCTAGATCTCTGCTAGCATTCAAGTTTATGGCATTTATCAGTGCTGACAAATTCCCCGACAGCCCCCAGCAGGTGCATGCACACACACGCCACGTGTATGTGGGCATCCCACACACCCATTGCCCCTGGCCCCCCCAGGGTGTCTGCAGCCCTGCTTGCCATATCCTGCTCTTGCCATCGGCAACAGGGAGCTGCTCGGCTGATTTTTCATTCCAGCAGTACAGTAGAACACTGCCCAAAGAGAGGAGCAGACTGCACTCATCTACCACCTGAATCAATAGAGGCAGCTGGCCTGGGACTAGAGTTTCAAAGAGAAATGCTGGGACAATTAGAGGGGCTGTCATAGATAAAGATTTCAATGGAGTGAGGGAATTAGGAAGATGTAAGGGCAACCTCTTCCTTTTCCTGAGTCTTTTCTGCAGTGACACACTGCAACACTTTAATCTGGGGAGAAAAGGGCACATGCGTAGAAGGAATATTTGTTCTTCTGAGATCTCTTCTCTATGTGAATTCCCATCCAATCCTCAGTCTTAACCTACCATCTTCCTTATTCCAGGACTGGCAATCTTTCAACAAAGGAGGGGTAGGTTGTATTTTTCTTTCCCCAGTTAGCTATTAAGCGTGCCAATGGAAACTTGGCGGGAAGCGGGAGAAAAGGGCACATGCGTAGAAGGAATATTTGTTCTTCTGAGATCTCTTCTCTATGTGAATTCCCATCCAATCCTCAGTCTTAACCTACCATCTTCCTTATTCCAGGACTGGCAATCTTTCAACAAAGGAGGGGTAGGTTGTATTTTTCTTTCCCCAGTTAGCTATTAAGCGTGCCAATGGAAACTTGGCGGGAAGCTGAAGATGCTGCTCCTGCCTGTGGCAGGAGGTCTCGGTTCCCGCTGAATTTGGAGCTGTGTGCGGGCCAGAAGCAAATGCATCTCCCAGACGCCTCCTTGAAAGTGCTGCAGCTCTCTGACTGCCCAGACCCCCCATATTCTGTGTGATAAGCCTGACCTAGCCCCATCCCCTCCTTGCTCGTCTTCCTCTCTGCTTTCCGGCTTGGCTATAGTTGGGCGAGTAGCCCTGGGAATTAAACTCCACAAAATACCATCCCCAGTGCCCTGGCGTACAACAGAAGGAGGCAGTCAGCTGGAACGGTCTGGCTGGGGCGTAGCCCCGGTCGTGCGTTGCAAGAGGCACCTCTCTGGTTTTCTGTTCATCCAAACCCGATTGTTATAAAACAGAGACACCACATGGGGAATATATGTTTTCCAGAGAACAGCTAAGTACTTAATTCATGGCAAGTGTGGGGACTGACTTTCTCATAGACTCCTTGAATAACTAAACCTACAGGAACACTGATATTTTGGGGATAAGCCAGCTCCACCCTTCTTAATTGGGGCAAATGCCCTCAGTGAGCTGACAACATCCCCATATTGCCAGCTACTCCTGTGTGTCAGGTACCAAATTGTCCAAGGACCCAGAGAAATGTCACTGGAAATTACACACCAGGTGCTTTGAAAAGAGGCTCTGAAGTAGCCCCTTAACCACAGAGGAGCTTGACCATTTAGTGTGTTCTTAAATGTCTTAGACCAAAGCTACACTGTATGTTTGTGGGTATGTATGGGGACTTACTTTCGTACGTGAATTTCTTCCTCTGTTTCCCCTGGGGAGCAGCTCTTTTGTGCACTTAAACGAGCTGGAAACAGTTGAAACTAAATCCCAGTATGTAACATGAATCCTGCGTTTAGTGGGTTTGACTTTTAAAAATGCAAATACACACAGGCCCTGATGACTTCAATAGCATTTATGGGTGCTCAGTGCTTGTTTAAATGTCACACTATTTATAACATATATTTGTGTCCTTTTTTTATATTCTCTGTTGGCCTGTCTCTTTTCCACTGTGGTATCTTTGACAGACATCAGGATGTAACATGTGTTTGAATAATTAAGAAAATACAAATAAAAGTTATCTTTATTCTAGTCCATATTTTTCCATTGCCTAACCACCAAAGATAACAGTACCATTTCACCACTTCTTTTTACATTCTATGGAAGAAAAATACTTTTAGTTTTGCAGTGGTTTATTAAACTTCCAAGTCCAATTATTTGCCCCTATAGTTTCCCCCCTCAACTTTAGAAAATTGTTTCAGCTATATCCAAACTCATGCCAACTTCCTGGCTTCTCGGCCGCAACCCATCAGCAAGTGCTCTGCTAAGAACCACTTTGAGGCTCTCCTTGAACCTCTTCTTCTTGCTGCTTCCTACAAAGAAGTAAACAAGGGGGTTGATGCTACTGTTAACAGTGGAGAGAACAACGGTGACGTGGTTCTGCTGGCTAAGCAAAGACGACCAGTGGTGGTAATTCAGAAGATACAACAGCCTCATAGGCATGGCAAAGATGAGGAAGACAATGACGGTGGCCACAATGATGATGTAGAGCTTTGACGAATGAGGTCTCAGGGAGTTACGATGAATCCTGATAACCAAAATCAGGCTGGAGAGAATCATTAGAGGAATGAAAATCATGAAAGTCAGGATCCACGTGAAGATGAGCAGTGCTTGGCAGTGGTTGCCATCGTCAAATTGTTCCTTCGTTGAGTCATCTTTGCATGTTAAGTATTCGGCTACTGTCATCAGAAAAGACAGAGTCCACAGAATTGCACACACAATTGCCGATTGGTGCTGTGACCGGTGGCATCGGTACCAGATGGGGTAAACAATAGACAGACACCTCTCAATACTGATGGCTGTCAGGAGATAGAGACCAGTATTATAGCCAAGAAGGAAGACAATAGATAGTGTGGTGGTTATATAATAGTAAAAACCATATGCGAATCCAAAACCAGCAATGTACTCAATTGACAGAATAAATGTACAAAGCAGTAAGGAGATGTCAGCAATGGACAGGTGTGTGATGTACGCAGTGAATGGGTTTCTTTTGATCTGGAAGCAGAGGCACCAGAGGACAATTCCATTTTCACAAAAACCCAGGAAGGAGATGATCATAATTACCCAAAGTGGGGTCAATATCTCCCAGACCCTTTCCTGTGTAGAAATGTTTCTGTGCATTGAGATGTTCTCTGTGCCTTCGCTGGGATGAAACGTTATGTTTGACTCATCCATGGGGAAAGGTCAAGTTTGGATAGCACAGCTCTTCCTTCTGCAAATATGTATAAAAATATACTGTGAGCATTGTGTGCTCCTCCCCTCCCCTTTTTCTTTCTGTTTTGTGGACCCTCATGTTCTGGTCATATCTGAAAACCTTAGCAAAAGGAAAACCAGCTTTGATATACGGATGCTAGCTGAAACCCAGTTGGAACTACTCTTGGCAATATTAAAGATTGCTAAGCCCATCATGCTAGCAGAAATCCTGAGCTTTCTTCTCTATGGGGTTCAGCATATGAGTGCTAAACCACAGCTAAAGAGATACTGTCAAAGAGCTCTTGGACAAGCAACGTATCCATCACATTGCAAAGTTTCATGACACAGTGGTCACAGATAGCATTGGTCATTCTTGTTAGAGCCCGTGATTGTTCCCAGACAGGTCTATTCAGGTCCCGTTGAAGCTAATGACATTAATTTTAAGTTAAACGTGTATTTCAAGTTAATTTTGCTCACAAGTTTTTTTTGTTTAAAAAAAAAAAAATGATACCAACATCTCTTTACCAGGAAGGGTTTTAATTAAGTAAAAATAATATATATAGTTACTCAGCATTGTATTCCCTCCGAGTACAGAGGTGGAGGGAAGGCAAAATGCCACCGTTTTGAGATAGTCGGTTTTGACCAGCTTAAAATGTCATTTATCATAGCATAACATAATTTAACCATGTTTACACACTCCAAACACTGAGCACAACTGCAATATCCTGTAAACATTACAAGTCCAACCCATCGCAAGGAGAAGTAGTTGTTAAGGTTCCCCGTCATTGTTACAATGGTTAAAACTGTTCTTTTGCTGAGTTATGGAACAAGTTCTCCTTTTGTATGTTTTCTTTTATCTTATAACAGAGAATTAGCACCATTGGCTTCAGCTGATTTTCAGATGAGTATTTCATGCCCCCTTCCCCGTTAACTTCCCGGCTGCCCCCGTGGTGATACAGAGTCACATTCAGGACCCTTGCTGATTTACTGATGTTAACAGAGACGAGCTCTTGGCAGTAAGCTTGCCCAGCTGACTTGGTTCATCCTTATAAGCAGCTTTGTTCATTAACATGCCATAATGGGAATGTACCCATATCCTCAAGCAGTTAAGAACATCAAATGCAGAGTAAATAAGTTTTACTGGGGCTAACTTTTGCAATGATTATTTAAGCAGAGCCATTCCCCCAGTCATAAGTTTTCTCTTATGAGCTCTGGGTTTCCTGGTTTCAAACCAGCTTCTTAAGATGCAGTAAATATCACAGTCTAAAAAAGAGTATTCGGTAGGCAACCTGGGAAGCCCCAAGGCTTGCTGGCATTTAAACCCGCACAAAAATGTTAATGGTGATCCCACCTGGATGTTGACCATGCCACCGTCTGAGACCGAGTTGGTCGGAGAGAACAAAGAACATAGCTGGAAATGTGGTAGAGAAGTGAGGGTGAATGCAACAAGTAAATGCAGTGACCAGAATGAGCGGCAAGCCTCCCAAAAGCGGTGTTCTGCAAAAACTGCAGAGGGAAGGTGCTCAAACACTGTGCTGCTGGAAGCTTCACAGGAGAAATGGAGAGGAGAAGCTATCTACTTCAAGTGTTAAATAGGAAAGGAAAAAAAGCGCAGCATGAAAAGACTCAAGAAAGTTTTTCATTCATATCTCTATATAAATGGGGTATTTCTGTTTGAAGAGTAAAACGAAGATGAAAAATTTCTCAACTTACTTCGGTCATTCCCACATGAGAGCATTCAGAGATGAGAACGGAAAGAGTCCTCTCCTTCCAGATACATCCATGGTCTGTTCAGATTTCCCTGAAGCTGTTGAAGAACTTCCTTGAAAAAGCTGAAGGTTACCTTCTGCAATCATTTGCCTCTGGTAAGGAGGGGGAGCAAATAGTGACTCTGACCATGACTCCCTCAAAAAGAAGTGTGCAGTTCTCCCATTGCTCCAGATGTCTGAGGCATGCCAAGCAAAGGGCCCCAGGCTCATCATCTGAGGCTGTGCTTCAAATGGCATCACTCAGCAACTGGCAAGTCATCTAGCTGAAAGCCCGGGAGTTAACTCTTGTGGGAACTGAATGGCAGTATATGGAAAGTTGTCCTGAGCTGCTACAATACCAAGAGACATAGTTTAAACAAACACAAAGTGAGTAGGAAATCTATTTGCGGATGATAAGATCTGAAGAAGGAAAAATCTCAAATTTAGAACTGTGCCACCAAAGGCCATCTAAAATAATGCAAGTTGATTCGTAAATTTGTATTATATTTTTTAATATGAGAAAACAACAAAGCAAGAAAGAGAGGGAGAATGAAAAAGAAGAGAGGAAGAGAGGAAGGAAGGAAGGAAAACTAATTCACAGAACGAAGAAAACAGAAAGAAAGAAACCACAGAGCAAAGAAAATAGCCACATCATTGAGTTAGTCTCATACATCCATTCCTCTCAGTAAAAACTGTATCTTGAATTTATTCTACCAAAAAAAACCCAGCTGTGCAAAGTGAAAATCTGTTCTTGAGATTTAAACAGTCTCCCCTGAAAAGTTGAAACAGGCCTAGGAGCAGATAAACTCTTTGAAAAATCCCCTGAGGATGTCCCCTGCTTTTGCCCCAAGAATTAGGTTGTTTTTATATTCAGATATTAGCAGAACGAACATTCTTAGCCAAAAAAGGAGAGAGTTTGCTTGGTCTTCTCCTTTAGATGTTTCAGTAAAACTACCAAATCCCCAAATGGGAGAAACTACTAACTAATGTGAGAAATAAATGACCCCAAAGGGAGGCTCAGAATAAAGTTAGGAAAGAAACGGAGTGAAATAAAAACAACTTCTAATTGCTTTTGTTGGCTTAAGCTGTAATCCACCTTACGTTCAACAACTAAGGGACCAAAAATTCCAAGCTACCTTTGAAAAAGAAAGAAACCTGTTCCTTTCCCATAAAATGAGATATGCACATGAGTAATGAGAAGGGTCGTTGTAGGAACATGTTAACATATCAAAATCGACCATGTACCTGGGTTCATAGCCCACTCAGTCTGCTGCGCAAACTCAATCCAAAATCAGGGATGCCCCGGCCCCCGTGTCTCCACAGGGCGGGTGGTTTGTGACGCCTCTCACACGCACCCAGCACCTCCTTCGTGACTGGTCCCTGGGGCACGATCAGCCATCACCTGCACGGCCAGGGCAGCTGAGTGAAACCTGGTCTTAAGGGAAATGGATCACCAACACAGCTTATCCTTGGGGACTTCAGGAGTAACCAGAGAGTTGAGTAGCACAGGGGGACCCCGCGCCTCCTGACTATTGGAGTGTTTATATCAGATGCTGCCAAGAGATGGAGTGGCTATTTCTGAATCAGTTTAACTATTCAGATATTGAACAAGGGAACTACAATAACAAAGCATGGAACCCCAACAGATCTTGGGACTAGAAATTGGTATCGGCAATAAAAACATGATGGACAATATAGATACTCTGTTAATTTCAATCTAAACTGAATATACATCAAGATGTGACGTGAATGATAATTTATCCTAAAAAATGCACTAACCTGGTGGGACAAAGCAGCCTTGCAGTGGATGTAAATTGAACATACTAACACTTTCAAATATCCTGTATGCATGAAGCTAGTAGCATTAGCTTTTTATCATTTTGCTTTGAGCCTGTGAATAATTTCATGTTCTTATATCTCCAGTTGCTGGAAGCAGAAGGCAACTTGAAAAGAACTCGCAACTCATTCATTAAACAAAAGTCAATACCTAGGATTTATAAACCAAAGTAGAGGGGGTTATGTGGTTGATACAGGTGCCAGTATATAAAAGAGCCTCTGTGCACCTGGGAGTCAGCTCTCCTGATTACACACCTACACGAGCCATGACAAACCCCTTTGGTGCTTTGGCAGCACTTTCAGGCAGTGCAGTTTTTCCTGATGGTCATTCAGTCATTACTGCTTTCCAGCTGACAATCATTCCATAATTATTCAGCTCAACCAAATGTTAGGAGTTGGGCTTAGGTTTCAGAGGAGTGTGGACTGAAGAGGTGGGCTCAAACAACTCACAGAGAGGTACACTGAAAAACAGAGGGGTTGTAAGATGACCAAAGCCCAAACAGAGGGCTCTGGGGTGCCATGGAGAGCAAACAGAGGACTCTGGGAACAAATGGTCAGGTCCTAAGTGTTGTAAGATCCATTAAGGCTCACAGATACTAGGAGAGCCAGAATGACTTACGGTTATTCCTCAATAGGTGATATAAGAATATCATTATAGTGGGAGTTAGGCTTAGGGTAGACCTTAGGGTTAAGGTTACTCTAACCCGAAACCCACCACAGAACTTGTTAGACATCTTTTATCCTACTCATATCAGCCATCATGCTAGCGTGTGCCCAGTTCCCTGAAGGGCAGTATAGGTGTTTTATAGGCAACAGGCGTGAGAGATGGATTTATTGTTGGTTTCTGCAAAGCAAGGTGAAAGTATGTGTCAACAGCTAGTTTTGAAGTCAGCAGGGATCATCTGTTTGTAGTTAGAAGGTTATGGTAGGAATTAAGATTCAAGAAAATAGAAGATAAAGACTAAGAAGACCAAGTCCAGAATCTGGGGTTAGGATGAAGACTCCTTGGTGGCTGCTCAGTTGTTATAAGGTCAGTTGTAAAATCCCATTAGTGGCAATCATAGGATTGTGTTTTTATGAGAACGGTATAGAATAGCAGGCTCCAAAAGCAAGGATTACTGCTTAATCCTGAAATCCTACTGAGAGATTTTGACAGCTGAAGTTGGTAGGGGTAAATTAATCATATTTTTTTCTGGGTGGTTAAGGCCTCCCGCATGTTATTTATGAAAGCGGATTTAGGGCCTGAAAGCTAGGTGTACTCTGAGAACCTGTGAAGAACCTTATCTGAGGTAAGAATAAGGTGACTACTGAGACATGGGCAGTTTATAATTGATGTTGGGACCATACAGGCCCTTAAAATAGTTAGGTAAAGCTATTTTCAGATTACTTTCCTATTCT